GGGAGCCGCCAGCCTGGTCCCGGGAAGAGGGGGAGGGCTGGGGGGCATTGGTTGGCTGGCTCGAGCCATGCCAGGTGTAAGGTCTGCTAGCTGGGTGCTGGCAGGCTTGCACCTGGAACGGGCACCGTAGCCAGCCCGTGCCTCTTTAAGGGGTCCGGGGCCGGGAGGGGGGCAATAGAGTTTCCCTGGTGTTGGCCAGAGTGGCCACCAGGGAAAGCTGGGGAGGGCTAGCCTCCCACTAGTTCGAATTAAGGGGCTACAGACCCCTTAATTCGAACTAGTAAGTTCGAACTAGGCTTAGTCCTTGTGGAATGAGGTTTACCTAGTTCGAACTAAGCGCTCCGCTAGTTCAAATTAAGTTCGAACTAGCAGAGCGCTAGTGTAGCGCCTATCAAAGTTAATTCGAACTAACGTCCGTTAGTTCGAATTAACTTTGTAGTGTAGACATACCCTGAGGCTTTTCAGAGCTCCTTTGTATAATTCCACAATTGCAAACTTGGGAAGGTAGGTTGGAATGCCTTCTTTACCTTCGGGATTCATCCTCTAGCCACTGCTACCACTTTTCCTAGCTACAATGTAGCTGATTTATCCCTGAATCTCATAAAAATATGTCTAAATTCTTAGTATTACAAGGTGCAGCCCTTATGCACTTTTCATTGCAGTGAGATGCTTATTAGGGCTGTGCCGGTGCAGATATCATTTCAGGATTAAGTTTTTTGCCATGTTGTTATTTAAATACTTGATGAAGCAATGGTAGATTACATAAACACAACAAAAATGGTACCCTAGTAGGCTTCATAAAAGGGCCAACTTTTCAAAAAATGACCTCAGAATTTTATTAGGCAACATCCTTCATGCCATTCAGAGGCTAGAGTGAGGCCGTGTGAAAATTTTTTTGCTTCTCTTTGGAAAAACTACCTAAGTAGGTCAGATTTTGGCTTACTAACTAAAAAGGTGCTACTTTGACTGGCCCTTTTCCCCTGGCCAAGCTCCAGTCTGGAAAATTACAGTAAATTCCCCCTTCAATTTCAACTGGATATAGTATTCACCTCCATCTCTAACCTGAAATTCAAGTATAATATTGATATATGTGGTTAAAGAACTGCCACCTTCCACCCTAAGGGTGTCAGTGTTTCAGAGTTGATACAGGGTTGCCAACTGTGACCAAAGCTATTCCAAGAGATTTATTTCCAATATGATGTAATGTCCTTTTTAAACATGTCCTATTAAAATCTCCAGGACTGCTTTTAGTAGTCAGAGAGCTTGATGCTGATTCCAGAAGACTCCAGGCTAATCTTGAAGGGCTGGCAACCTTAGAGATGAGGTGGGGGAATACA